TTGCTATTAGGTTGGGTGCCATTGCTATTGGGTTGGAGGCCATTGCTATAGGGTTGCATGACATTGCTATTGGGTTGGAGACCATTACTATTGGATTGGAGGCCCTTGCTATTGGGTTGGAGGCCATTGCTAGTAGGTTGGAGGCCATCGCTACTGGGTTGGAGGCCATTGCTGTGGGGTTGGAGGCCATTTCTATTGGGTTGGAGGCCATTGCTATTGGGTTGGAGGCCATTGCTATTAGGTTGGGGGCCATTGCTATTAGGTTGGAGGCCATTGCTATTAGGTTGGAGGCCAGGTTGGAGGCCATTGCCATTAGGTTGGAGGCCATTGCTATTTAGGTTGGAGGCCATTGCTATTAGGTTGGTGGCCATTGCTATTTAGATGGAAGGCCATTGATAATAGGTTGGAGGACATTGCTATTGGGTTAGATGCCATTGCTATTGGGTTGCAGGCCATTGCTATTAGGTTGGAGGCCATTGCTATTAGGTTGGAGGCCATGGCTATTCGGTTGGAGGCCATTGCTATCAAGATTGGAGACCATTGCTATTAGGTTGGAGGCCATTGCTATTCGGTTGGAGGCCATTGCTATTCAGGTTGGAGGCCATTGCTATTAGTATTAGGTTGGCGGCCATTGCTATTAGTATTAGGTTGGCGGCCATTGCTATTGGGTTGGAGGCTGTTGCTATTGGGTTGGAGGCCATTGCTATTTAGGTTGGAGGCCATTGCTATTTAGGTTCGAGGCCATTGCTATTTAGGTTGGAGGCCCTTGCTATTAGGTTGAAGGCCATTGCTATTAGGTTGGAGGCCATTGCTATTAGGTTGGAGGCCATTGCTATTTAGGTTGGAGGCCGTTGCTATTAGGTTGGAGGCCGTTGCTATTAGCTTGGGGCAATTGCTATTAGGTAGGAGGCCATTGCTATTAGGTTGGAGGCCATTGCTATCTAGGTTGGAGGCCATTGCTATAAGGTTGGAGGCCATTGCTATTTAGATCGGAGGCCATTGATATTAGGTTGGAGGCCATTGCTATTAGGTGGAAAGCCATTGCTATTATGGTTGGAGGCCATTGCTATTAGGTTGGAGGCCCTTGCTATTAGGTTGGAGGCCATTGCTATTTAGGTTGGAGGCCATTGCTATTAGGTTGGAGGCCATTGCTATTTAGGTTGGAGGCCATTGCTATTCGGTTGGAGGCCATTGATATTAGGTTGGAGGCCATTGCTATTGGGTTGGAGGCCATTGCTATTTGGGTTGGAGGCCGTTGCTATTAGGTTGGAGGCCACTGCTATTTAGGTTGAAGGCCATTTCTATTGGGTTGGAGGCCGTTGCTATTAGGTTGGAGGCCCTTGCTATTTAGGTTGGAGGCCGTTGCTACTAGGTTGGAGGCCGGCTATTAGGTTGGAGGCTGTTGCTATTTAATTAGGTTGGAGGCCATTGCTATTAGGTTTGAGGCGGTTGCTATTAGGTTGGAGGCTGTTGCTATTAGGTTGGAGGCCATTGCTATTAGGTTTGAGGCCGTTGCTATTTAGGTTGGAGGTCATTGCTATATAGGTTGGAGGCCATTGCTATTTAGGTTGGAGGCCATTGCTATTAGGTTGGAGGCCAATGCTATTTAATATTCAGGTTGGAGGCCATTGCTATTGGGTTGGAGGCCATTGCTATTAGGTTGGAGGCCATTGCTATTAGGTTGGAGGCCATTGCTATTAGGTTGGAGGCCGTTGCTATTTAGGTTGGAGGCCATTGCTATTTAGGTTGGAGGCTGTTGCTATTTAGGCTGGAGGCCATTGCTATTAGGTTGGAGGCCATTGCTATTTAGTATTTAGGTTGGAGGCCATTGCTATTGGGTTGGAGGCCGTTGCTATTAGGTTGGAGGCCGTTGCTATTAGGTTGGAGGCCATTGCTATTGGGTTGGAGGCCTGTGCCGCACGCGGTGCGCGTGTCTGACAGTGGCTCCCTTGGGCACCCAGACTGACGTGCAGCCATGGACTGCCCGATCCAGATCGATTAACCTTGGATGCGTGGAGCTCAGGTGCAGGTCCTGTCATTGAGGTCTACTCGAGCTCTTTGGGCTGGTGGATTGGACACAATTCATCAACAAACGATGTGCATCTATACGCACAACTCTTTTTTGAGCTTAGTTTCAGGCTAAATTGCAAAAGGGATGTCGCCGCCTGACTAATTACCCGTAATTAGCCAACAACACCCGGACTGGCACTGGACTTGCCGCTGCGGCTCTCAGTTTGTCCAGGTGACTGCTGTGCAAAGCCGCGGTTGGGGCGGGCGCCCGGCCGCCGTTCGCACAAGCGCTCCTAGGAAGAAGCGCCGACGAAGCGCAGAGCGCCGCACTGACGAAAAGCCGGAAGAACCCTTCTCGGCCTAGAGGGACGAAATAGCTCTGATGAGTAATACCTCTGTTGTTTTCGCTCAACACCACGCCATCCGTGGTAGTGGCTGGGGTAGTCTCCAGGCCAGGCGAGGCTTAGCATCCAGGCGACGGCAGAAACTAGAAGCGACATGGCGTTCTTCAACCACACCGGTGCTTTGAACGAGATCAAGTTCGTTCTGTCTCGGCGCTTCTAATGCACCGCTGCACCCGCACGAGTCTTGAGAACCTGTCCCATGCATCACGGAGGGGAAGCCCCTCACAACCGATCAAGTAGGACAAGGCCTCGGTACAGGAGTCTTTCCATGTGACCAAGGGATACCAAGGGTTCAATTCTCTTCCGTCATGATCTCTGCATGCGCTGGTGACCACTCCTCTTGAAAACCTGCCAAAGCTACATAGCTACCATCCAAATCTAAAATCGATTTGACCGTTCAGGCGACTCGCGGAATCCAAGGCCCCAGCGATCGCGCACGAACGGCTGGAGCCAGCATAACAGTGGATCAAGCACCTGAGAACCACACGTTTTTGAGCGTGTCCGACGTCATTTAGCACCTGAGACCATTCACAGGAAGTCGGAACAAAAAATTGCCCGTTCTCAGGAACCTTCCTCCTTTTCTACGAGCGCAGGAACAGCCGCATGATGGTTTCCAGCCGAACGTTTCCCTCGTTTCACGCCCGTGGGACCGCGTCATCCCGAGTGACCGGCTTCTCGTCTTGAGCCTTCGCCTGGAAGCGGACGCGAGGTGAGGACTAGAAAGGTTAGGTTCAAAAAACATACTAGAAAGCTTTCTTGTTACTAGTAGCTACTTGCTCCAAGTAGTATGGCTGGGAGCCCCTAGTAGCGTACTTGCTCCGTTCATAGCGATGCCAGCAGCCCCTAGTAGCTTTCTTGTTACTAGTAGCTTCTTGGTTCCTAGTAGTAATGCCCTTGTTGCTAGTAGCGATGCCCTTGTTACTAGTAGTTGCTACTAGTAGTCATGGCATGTAATGGCCGCCAACCTAATAACCTAATACCAACGGCCTCCACCTAGTAGCCTCTAGTTGCAAAAACACCCAATTATTACTACAACTCCTGTTTGTAGAAGAAATGCTCCTCTCAGGGCCATGTTCCACGTCCACTTTTTCAGGCAGTGTGCCTGATTACCTATCTTTTTCTGTCTCTCTCTCTCTCTCTCTCTCTACCACCACCACCACCACCACCTGCCCTCAGCAGCATTTTCAATGCTCAAAGCGCTTGATCAATCCTGCCAGATGGGCCTGCTGGGTGGCAGCCCAGCAGGCCCACCTTCCCAGCCCAGGGCTTGGTCAAGCAAAGCACTTGGGCTCTAGAGATGCTGACCACTGCGTTCACAAGTCTGCACTTTTCCTTGCAGGACAAGGGGTTCCTGCAGAGGGCTACCCGCACGGGCCCACACTCCCGGAACATTCAGCAAAAAGGCATGCACCTGAGTGTTCCACAGAGTCTGGCTGCTCCAGAAGTTGTTCAGAATTTCTTGGTGGAGGGTGGGGGGGAAAGAAATTCAGAACCCAAGGGATGTAAAGCGAAAACGCCAAACCAGGCACAACAACACACAGGGCGATCAAGAACACCAAGTCAACAAAGGGTTCGACAGCTAGGGTGAATTAGAGAGAGCACCACACGAGCGCCTCGGCCAGAAAGTCCCAGGCATTCTGCAGAAAAGGCCTGGAAACCGTCGAGGCTTCAACGGAGTTGGTCCTCCTGAGATCTCCTGAAGCCTCGAGAGATTTCAGCAAGTTACGCGTTTTGAAATTAGAAACAAGGGCATCGCTACTAGGAACAAGTGCCTTACTAGTAGTAACTATGTATGCTAGTAGAACTAGTAGAAACAATAGTTAAAAGTAATGTTCAAAGCTCAACGATGCTAGGAAGGAGCTTCGCCTCAACATCCTCAAGCCTCTTTCCTGAAAAATCCCTCATGGCAGTGGCGCCTGTCGTCTGTGAAGACCGTCTTACCCAAAAAATCGACGTCGAGCTGCTGAGCATGACCAAAAATGAGTCGAGTTGCTGAAGCTGCTCTTCGGGCAAATCACGCCTCAACGAGTCGACGCTCCAATCCTCTTCCTCTCGAGTGGACGCATCCTTTCGCATCGCCATCCGTTTCCTTTCGCATTCTGCTTTCGTTGTCCTCATCCCGCTGGGACCAGGCGAAAAAAACACAGCCAGGATTCTGTTGCAAAAAACGTGCGCTGGAGGCTATCAATGTGTTCGACCGGTTCCCGGTGTCCGCTGGTGCCGAGTTCCAGACAAGGGGAGCACACAGGTACGCACAGAGTCTGGCAGGGCGCTTTCGATCCTGGAAAGACCAGCGGTGCACTCATCGGTGCCACAAGAACGCAGAAAGACTCAGAAGTACCAAGCTTCATGACCCAGCCAGGAAAGTTTTCCAGATTGCCGTTTCAATGAAGTGGTCAATCCAGATCAAAACCGCACCAACGGCATTTGTGAACTCCTGGCTCTAACTCAACTTTCGCAGATGGGATGGTAACTGAGTCCCCAGGTGCCCAGGTCTCACGCCGACCTGGAAGGCTTCACCGTCCTCTCGCAGCAGCTCAGGACCGACTGGATGCCATTCCTGTCGGACGGACGGACGGACTGGACGCTTCCTCGTCTCATCAAATGTGGAAGCCAACCAGCCATCATCATCCATCAGCTAGTAGAAACAAGTGCATCGCTACTAGTAACAGGTGCCTTACTAGTAGTAACAAGAAGCTACTAGCAAAGGGATCTACTAGAACCAGGAATGCACTTTCGTTCTTTCAGGTGACTTTCATTCATCAGCCATCATGCCAAATCATACCGATACCTAACTTGACATGCATGTGACCCATGGTCTCTCTGTTCCCCCCACTTCTTTCAGTGCGCAAGCTGCCTCTCCAAGAATCTCTCGTCGGCTGCGGATTTGTTGCCGATCAGCAGCCAATCCTACGCTTGGGGGGAGGCTCCTAGGCTTCCAATTCAACAACAGGTGCCTTAGCTACTAGTAACAAGTGCATCGCTAGTAGTAACAGGTGCTTACTAGTAGTAACAAAGAAGCTACGAGTAACAAGTGCATCGCCTTCACTTTTCGGGAATACGGAATACATCGGAATACCATGGAATACCTACCAATCACCGATCAACTGACGCCAAGTGAGTCGAAGATCTGACGCCAGGTTCAGCAAAGTCTGTGAAATGTTGTAGTTCAAAAGCATGTGTTTGACCAAAAGCTGCCAAACGCCCAGCAACCCCAACCCATGTCCAACAGCCAATCAGCGTCGTTTGCGTCCCCTCTTCGTCTCTGGCCCTCACGACCTGGCCTTCAAACGAGGCGAGAGGACTGAGTGCAAACGGTGAGGCGATGTTCGAGATAGCACCGGCAGTAGTGATGCCCTAGCTACCAAATAGCGATGCACTTGTTACTAGTAGCTTCTTGTTATTAGTAGTAATGCCAGGAGCTACTAGTAGCGTCCTTGCTCCTAGTAGCAATGCCCTTTGATACTAATAGTAGATGGTTATAGATGGCTGGTACACTCCATCATCCCTACGGATCCCTACGGCCCAAGCACGGGCCATCCTCAGGTATGCCTCAACTCTATGTCCACGACATGTCAACCTACATCGTTCAGACATTTCTTCGGTCACCCAAGCTGCCTGGCCATCATTCACCATGGGCTCCACGGCGGCAAGTTTGTACATGTTAACGAACTAATTGTCAAGAGGATGGAATTTGCTTCGATGTGACAGGACAGACCACCCCGTGCGGATTCTGATCTAGCGGGCTCTGCACCGACATGAGCATCTTTCCGGAGGCACTCTCACCAGCTTGAGCGCAATGTCTGAAACTCATGCTGCTTCGGAGGAACCTCGAAATGCGCCATGGTTGTGGAGGAACCTCGAAATACCTTAGCCCTCACTTAATTCACCATTTAGCAAAGAAAGTGCACTTGAATTGATGTCTTCAGATTCACCCCAGAAGAAAACATGAACTAAAAAGTGAATCTAAAAAAGCGGATGGATAAAGCAGTGAAGCTGGAAAGTGAAGTCAATGTCCATCTATAGTGCTAAAGCAACAAAGGAAAGCGACTAAGAGATCCACTTTGAAATCCACCAGGTGAAGGCCTGGCGCAAAATTATCCGCCTCTACGACTCTGCGGCGCCCACTTGAGACGTTCTCGGGCACTTTTCTCAGCCACTGTACGTCTCGAAGCGCCCAGTGACCACCGTCCGACAAATAGGGCACGCCTCACATCAAAGCTGACCAATGTCTTTGAGACATCGATGCATCCCTTTTCTATTGTAATTTGTATAATTATAGATATAATATGCACCCAGAGTATCACTAGTAGGTGGTTGGAGGCCCTCGCTCTTAGGGTGGAGGCCATTGCATATAATCATATAATATGCACACAAAGTATAGATAGCCCGGTTTTCTCGTTTTCTCGGACAAACCCTCTTAAGTGGATGTCGCTAAAAACGATTGGTTAGTATAGGTATAACTATATATATACTGCAAGGTAATCTTAGCCAGCTGGGATAAAGTGCAAAATCATACGCATTTCAGTGAATGGTTATGATGTGACTTGGTCTCATGACACTGTCCACCATAAAGTGGGGCAAGCCTACCTCAATACACTATGACTCAAGACTATGACTATGAACGCACTTGCCAGTTCAGGTTCAATATGCACTTCACCCAAATTAAACTGGCGACCTATTCGTTCTGCGCAACCGAAAATGCTTCCCGTTCACTTGGTGCCTGCTCACGGCTCTGCTCAACCCGTTCTGCACAAGGGCTGCAGAAGGCATGATGCCTGGAGGGTCACGGACGGACACAGGTGCACCGGCCGCATGGAGTCCGCCTTAGAGGTGCCCTATCAAGGGGTCTGCAGCTTGGGCTTCGGCTGCAATTAGGTGTTCGTGGCCTGTTGATTGGAGGGTCACGTCAATGCTTCCCAAGTTTGGCACCAACAAGCTTGTGTTCTATTCTCACCCAAACGCTCTTACCGAATGAAAGGCACACCTGCTCTTGCTGGGTCCGATGCCTGCATGGTAGCAGCGCACAAGAAGCCGTCCCTGAATCAGGTGGGCGCTCTAACAAACTCCTGCCCTGCTTTCCTCAATGCACAGTGACAGTATATTCTGTTATGTGAAATCAGTGGGTAGCAGGTTAGGATGTGCGTCCGGAGTATCCAACGAACATCACATAACTCACCCTGTCCGTGAGTCTCCGTCCAAACTGGAGCCACCTGGCCAACGGTGGAAGTTGAGGCCAGTACAGTCGTAGCAAATTTTGCAAACCGCCACCTCCTGCCATGTCGCCAGAGTGCAAATGCTGGTGCTCTTCTTGCAGAGTCTAGCTGTGGCACAGCTGTCCCGCAGGGACACTCTCACGGTGCACAATGCACAAACGCAATAGAAGCAGGACTTTGGAGAATCTGATCCTTTACCTTTCAGAAGCTTTCGCTGTGTGCCAGCTCTCAGTCCAAGTGCTTCCCTGGACCGCCCTGGCCACGTCGACGAGTCCTTGTAGCTGGCCACGCGTAGCGCGACCCGTCGGTCAGCGAGGCGTTGCAAGGAGCTTTGGCATGCCTCGCCGACGAGCTTCGGTGAGGAACACACTAGTAGCTTGTTGCTACTTGCTCCTAGTAGGGAGTAGTATGGCCAGGAGCCCCTAGTAGCGTCCTTGCTCCTAGTAGCGAAGCAAATTCCAGTCCTGGCATGGATGGTACCAAAATGCGTGAACTGCCAACTCATGAGTTCTACGAGTACCAAGTGATCAGCTCGCCCTTTGATCAGTGCATGGCTTGGCTTCCAACCTCCAACATCTCACTGAACAAAGGGCAAATACCGAAACGCAGCCAACGGCGAATTCAGTCTCCCATCATGTGCTCTAAAAGCGCCTCTCGCAGCGCAGACTCCCAGCCCAGGACTGCCGGCCTCAAGCCAGCTGATCTTTTGCTTCATGAAAGGTTCAAATTCGCGAATTGGCGATGTTTACCTTCAGGAAATGTGTAAATCTCCAAGTAGGCTCATGAAATTCATGAAACCAGCTCGAGATATCGGAATGTTTGCTCTTTCTCCGTGCTTGACTCATAACCCTCTCTCCACGTCCTGTCGAAGAAATAGTAGGGTCCAACTCAAAAGCACGAGCAGCAAAACAAATTTCCAAGGTGCCGTTGGAGCAGAATCTTCTTTGGATCCATGCGGCTAGTAGCGTCCTTGCTCCTAGTAGCGATGCCAGGAGCCCCTAGTAGCTTCTTGCTCCTAGTAATTAGTAAGGCCAAGAGCCGTTAGTAGCGTCTTTGCTCCTAGTAGCGATGCCCTTTGCTCCTAGTAGCTTCTTGCTCCTAGTAGCGTTCTTGGGTCCATGGGGCTGGCGGCTTCACGCACCAATTCCATCTCCCGTACCCACAATTATTTGGCCTCCCAAATCCCAGAGAAACCCCAACTCGACAACTCGGAATCCCGGGCTCACTTTTGACATCCGCAAGTGATGAGTCGGGCACCTTGCAAAATACCAGTTGATGGGAAGGGACACACCCACGCCGAAGCTGTTCGGGTGCATGTCCAGGTCGTTGCATTTCCAAGCATCCATTCATGTTGTGGACTAAATAGACTGGTGATGGACTAGTCACTATATATTATATACAGTATGTAGTCATTCCTACAGGCAGTTGTCATTCGCAAAGCTGCAGTTCGGGCCTCCCAAAAGTCCAACTTGCCTTTCAGTCGAAGACTCTCGGCCTCTGCAGTGTCTGGCGTTGCTCATTCAGGACTATGGTGAGTGCTCTCCTGTTCTTGAAGCTACTAGGGGCTCCTGGCCTTACTACTAGGAGAGCAAGGACGCTACTAGGGGCTCATCGCTACTAGTAACAAGAAGCCACTCGGGGCTCTTGAAGGACGCTGGCATCGCAATTCCCAGAACGCCTCGTGGAGTTGGCCAGCACTCTCCAATTCCCGGCCTTAGTTCTCTTACCCTCCGGCGTCAGCTAGTAGAACCGAAGATTATTGAAGAAAAAGACATGTTTTTCATTGTTTTCCTCCATCACGGCCCTGCTATCCTTTCTGATGTAATGAAACGGCTCATTCATTGAGCCTCCTGGTCTACAATCACAAGCGCCCACCCACCACCCAACTCTGAGGTCGCCGCATCGCTCGTGCAAGCTGGCGACCTGACGACCGTGGATGTCGTCTCCAACGGTCCACAACTCCACTTCTTCCCAGAACTCGATGACTGAACGAATGAGCGTTCGTCGTTAGGTGACTGTGTTGCAAAGCTGGAGCGCAAGGGTTACGCTTCAGATGCTCCTCTTCTCAACATGCTTCAACGCCCATAGTATCCAAAGAAACAACCTGCACCACAAAGTTGTCCACGCCTGAGCAGTGGCCAACTCCAAGTCCGCCTGAACGAATTGGGTGACTGGTCCCTGGTGCATGAACTCAGCCAACCTCTCCCCACCAGTTCAACTCCTTGTTCGACAAGCTTGTGTCCGACCTCACTTCGCAAGAGGACAAACATTTGTCTTTCTGCATGTTTTTTGATGCTGCCCTATTTCAATTGGCAGATCCCACTACCATGACTACAGCTTCGGCAGACCCTCCCAGTGGCCTCGAGGCTTTCAATTCGGCCCACCTGGTAGCTGCTTTCGATGATTTTGTTGCTTCAAGTGTGTTTGGAAATGTTCACCACCTCCTACCCGCATGGAGTTGGTTCAGAATCATCTGCCCTCGCTGACGGGTACTTTATGTTGGAATTCTTGACGTTTCTGATTGTATGTATGTTCACCGATTTTCTCACGCTATAATTCGCTATATAGTATGATGTTTCATATGGCTTAGGCGTCAAGCGCCGAGTTAAACTTGGGCCTGGACGAGCACCATGTTTTACTACTTGTTGAGACCAATGTTTTACTTCAGGGCATACTACGGTAACACTGTTCCAAACTATAGTAAATTAGCGAAACTTAGAACATACTTTGGGAGCTTTTCAAGCGTCCTGCATAGAACATCAAAAAAGAAGAGAACTTAGAAACAATCGGCATCTTGAAGATCACTACAACGCGGTGTCCAGCACGAAACTTCCCGGATTTCAGGGTTCACTGTTTGTTTCTCTCTTCCTTGGTTGTCCTCCAATGGCACTGAAGAAGTGTCTATCCTCTTATGGCGTGAAAGAAGCATGAAATACACATCACAAGTGTGACACATGGTTACACCATACACCTTATGGGCACAGTCACGGTCATGGACTCTTGTGCGTGAAATCCGCGTGAAGGACCATGTTTATGCGTGAAACGCCGTGTTTATGCGAGAAAGGCACGTGAAATGCCTGACCTTAAGTTTTGAGGAAGTCTCCTGGCAAAATAAGTTAAATGCAATTTTTTGGATCGCACCAAACGGAAAGAAATATTGGGCATAAGCTGAAACTTCTCAGTGTGCGTGCCCAGGTGCATTCCTGAGATAAGGAATGATTTTGATGTGTGTTGGGCTGCCACAAAACAGTTCTGCCCGTGATGTTTGCAAGGCTAGCCTGGTTTACGGTTTACAATTGGTTTGAAGCTATTTTGGCACCTGTATCATCGTACGTTCCTTCCTGTAGTGAGTGTGATGGACGATTTCCACTTCAAGTCCTTGATGGAAAAGGCGAAGGAACGACAACGGCGCGTAGAAGCGGAGATCGAACAAGATAGGTGTGTGAAAAATGAGCTGAATATAACATG